AGTCTGTTGAAATGCTGGCAGAATGACTGTATGAAAGATCTGTACTTAAATCACATAAATAAGACACTGGCAGGACTCAAACCTAATTTTCACCTCCATTATTTGGGTAACTCTAGTCCACGGGGCATTACACTTCAGACGTGTCCCAATTGGCATTTCTTTCTTCCAATACTGGGCAGCTACAAAACTAATGGATGTTTATCAGTCCTGGCTATGGTTAGACTGGAAATTAATAACTTAGTCCTAAATACTGGACTGATGAAATGACAGGACTGTCCTCTGAGCAGTCCAATAGGAATGATAAATTCAAAATATTTTAGGAAGATATTTCTAAAAATGTGTCAGGGATTCTACAACAGCATGATGTGGGACACACCATTTCTGAATTTATATTATTATACAGTACTTATATCATATTGATGCTCTCAGGCACATTCAAAGCTTTCAAAACATGTCCAGGAGAAGTGCCATAGCATCACTCCTTTCCCAGCATGTGATTTGGCTTTTGGAAAATGTTCTTTTGTTTGCTTTTCATTTTTTAAATCTTCTTTGGATACTGTTAATGACAGGAAACAAGAGATTGTTTTCAGTGGTATAGAAAAGTCTCAAGATCCCCAGTGAGAGGGTCTAACTCATGTGCCCTTGTCATACTGATTGACAAAGTTGGGCCAAAAAGGATTTTGTTTGCCAGAACAGATCCAGCAGAGTGTGCTGGACTTATGGCTTTAGTTTATTTCTTCCAATCTCTTTACAAAAGAAAAGTATAGAAGTGAATGTAGGACGTTTCCTAGGATGTCATGAGCAGTTTCAGTAAAAAGTTCCCTCCCAATGTGGGAATCTGGGACATGAGTGATCTCCTCAATTCTTTCATCCTGCCTGTGTCATCAGTTTTTGTGTTGTCTTATCTGTCATATTAAAAAAAACCCAAATCTTCAGCTTACAACAGGAAATTGAAGGACATTTTGTGATTTACAATATAGGTATGTCACTGCATGATCCCAAAAAACCTACACTTCATCTTTCAGCATCACATTGCTATAAAACCCCTAAACTGCAAAGCATAAAACTCCAACAAAAATGGAGTTTTGTAATTGTTCAAGGAACCTATGGAACCCAGGTAGCTAAATCCACGACATTCCACTGACAACCTCAGGCAACAGTATAACAACGTTTACTTGCAATTTTATTTTGCATTAAAAAATTGATATGATGTTTTAATTGGTATGAGCACCATTTAGGTAAACCCAACTGTCCTCTAACATAAATATGTCTTTGAAACTTCACAAAAACATCTTCATGTGCTGGGATGCCCCACCCTTGCTAAGTGGAGCACTTAAGTCTTTGCTTATTTCTAAACTAATTGTTAAAAACTGGGGTTTTTTCAGTATAATTGCTTTTCACTATTTATGAGATGTTCACAGAAGCCTCTACAGAACCACCATTCAAATTTTACCTGAAAAAACACATTTTGTTTTAATACTGAAAACTAACCCTCTCATCTACTGACTCTTAATATTCAGCACAGTTTTCAAGTAGAAGAAAAAAAAATCACCTTTATTATGCCTTGCTGAGCAATGACAGGAAAGTCTGCATTCCCATGCATGCCCACTTTCTGCTATTTAGTCAAGCAATTCCCTTCCCAATGAAAAAGATGATGATGATTGGAATCTCACATTTCAGATACTCAGTGCATGCAACTTTTCCACAGTTCACTGACAGAATACCAACTAGCTCATAATATTTTCCTCTTTTTTTTTTCCTCTTCCTTGGTTGCCAGGCAATCACAATAAAAAGAGGTAAACAAACAAGTCTTGCCATAAGCAACAGAATTAACAAAATTAATTCTGGTTTCCCACCAATCTGTGTCTTATAGACTCAGATGTCTAATAAAAGCTGAGTGCAAAAAAGTCTCTTCCTCATTGTGACCATTGTGACCATTTCTGTGTCTCTTCCTCTCTTCCTGTCACTTTTTCATAAGTCTTGTAGGGATAAAAGCCTTTGGAAGCCTCTGCTCCTCCGTGAAATTGTTAAAATTCACCTCTGATCGCAAAAACTATTAAGCAAGATCTGCCTTTCCCTTGCATATACACACATTTAAGTGCATATGTATCTGTTTATTTCCCATTTTCTCTGGAGATTATGCCAAAAAGAAGGCAATGGCTTCACATACAAGCGAAGTACAGTTTTTAAAACTGCTAAGATTAGTGTAGGCACGATAAATTTCTATTAAGATTTTAATAGAAAAAATAAAAATATACTATATTTCCCAAAAAAAACCCAAAATGTTCTATTATTCTGTTGCTTAAAGTTAGGCAAATGAGGGTTTCATGAAGTTCCTAGAAAAAGCTGAAATATTCCAAAGCTGCATAATACATGTTCAATTCCTATAAATACTGAGGTGACTAACAAGCAGGCATTTGAGCTATTACTCTATATTATGTTAACACATTTTGAATTAGTGTTTTCCTCAGTGACTCATTTTATAGGAAATGAACAATTTTTTCTTAACAGAAGGAAAAAAGTCACAGCTTCAGTAAAAGTCCTCAGTAAGAGCATAAGGTGGATATTCCTGGTGAAAAGTTCATTCCATTGGAAATAAGAGAGAGACCTTGTGCTAAGCAAGACTTAAGGAAAGGACTAGAAAAATCAAGAAATAGTATTGGACAGAGGGAAACCACAACAGAAAAGACAAACCATCATAGGCATTTGTATCTTTATAAAAGAACCCAAAACATCTACAAGTTATTTTCTGACAAGTTTATGCTCATGACATTAATTACCTGAAAATATAACTCAAGTTAAGTATAAAACATATTTTATACCACAGAAATACAACAGATTAAGATTGAAAGCCTCAGGCATGAGAATATTCACCACTTATATAAATAACATTTGTACTATTTGGTTTAGGGTCTTGCTTAAATGACTTTGCATAAGAAAACTTGACCTAAAATCTTCCAGTATAATAGAGAATTATATCATAATTCAACATATATATTAAGTTTAAAACTTTCTTTCTCTGTTGCATGCTGTCCAATAGTTCAAACACATTTGGGAAACTGGTTGCAGGATTTAAGACAAAATTAACATTTTTGATGCCTCCTTTGTTTTAGCACTTAGATCTTCTGTGAACTTTTTATTGTAAAATTAAATATATCTAAACTCAGATCAGTAAGTGAATCAAGATTTTTCATATGTTGAACATACTTCTAATATAACCTACTGAACTTCAAACAAATATACAGAGAGAAAGAACTTTTCCAGTTATTTGAAAGTAAAAGTGGAGAGTTTTATGTAGACAACAGCTAAAATTCTGGTGAGAAGTGAGGAAATCAAATCAACACCAAAAATTAACACACACTTTAGGACAGCTTCAGATTAGCAATCAAATAATTCAAGTCTAAATGAAAAACGGAACCTTCCAACATACTGTATAAAAGCTTAACGAAACAGTAGCAGGATGCCAGAGCTCTTAAATCTTGCTATTATCAAAACCCCTGTAATGACTATGTATCCTAGAAGAATGCATTCCAGGTCAGCTCATCAATATGAAAACACTTTCTTCATAACATCACCAAAGATGCTGATTCAAGACCCATTATTACCAACCAGCTGAGATCAGAGGACAGGAAATTATCTGCTTTGGGAGCTTAAGAAACTTAAAAAGTACCACGGGATTTTTTTTTCCACACTTGGCATTCAAAAAAATCAATGAAATTTCTTTCTGGCACTGGTTCTAGCCCCAGTTTTTATTTTTAGCTTTTTTTTATAATTTGCAAATGAAAGAAGAAGTTGCATTGCAAGAGTTTTTTGATTAAGTTACACAGACACTGAAATTATCATTACCGTTGCATAAAAAACCCTCCTAAGACAGATTTTGGGACAGTTTCCCCTAATGCTGTTTTACCAATCTATGTTTTTCCATTACCCAGTCAGGACTGTTAAATGAGAAAGCTCTACTGTGACAGAAAATAAGCATGTTAGAGAGCATGTAAGGTTCAAAGAAGTTATATATTGTTATAAAATTACACACAACAATATTCAGTCTAAGATTCACTTGTTCTTACCACCCTGTTCTCCCTCTCTGTTCAGTTCCCCACTGAAGTTTTTACATTTGTGGGAGCAGACAAAGCACCCCTGACAGCACATCATTGTATTCAGGAGATTTTGTTCACAGCTTTAACTTAAAAGTTGGAGTTTCTTCATAACTTAGCAAAACATTTCAGGATGACAGGACAAAATATTAATGTCTGTTGAGAGCTCAGGTGTGATAAGAGGATCCAGATACTAAACTTCCCCAACAAAACTGAGATCTGGCACCTTACCACACAACTAGCTTGAAATTTATCCCAAATTATCCAAAACAATCAGATCTAACAAAAATTCAAACTCAAGGGAAAAAAAAAATTTCTTTTCTTTTTTTTTCTCCCCCAGAGGAAAACTACCCTTTTTTAAAGAAAACCTTATCCTCCTCACAAGAACATGTGTTTTCTGGCACATGACCTGACAGGCAATTGGAGAGGAACCACGTCCCACGTGCTACCTCTAGCACAATATATATTACCACAGTGATCTGAGTTTCTTTCCAAGTAAACAAACCTCATTTCACCAAGGCATAAAAACTATATTCATAATTTAACATAAATCTTGACCCTCTGTCTCAAAACAAAACCACCAGAAGAGCTGGATGCACTAATGTCTCTTAGTTTTTAAAGAGGTGGGAAGTAAAATAAAATAAATATTGCAATAAATGATGCAATAAATTAACAAAAATAAATTAAATAAATTAACAAAAATTAAATAAATTTAATTAATTAAATAAATAAATAAATAAATAAATAAATTAACAAAAACAAGTGCAACTGTCTTATAGATGCTAAGCACAAAGAAATACACACAATATTGTGAAAGCAAGAGTACATACCTTATCATGGGAATATTAGGCTAATAATTAAACCAAACTGCAGAGAGATAAGTAAAGCCATCTTTTCCCCCCCCATCTCTAGCTGCCAGACAGATGAGCACTTCATCATCAAACTTGTAAGGACAGCTGATTCTCACCCTTCTGCAAGCAAAATCCTCTTAATCACAGTGAGGTAAAAAGGTCACCACAATGAGGAAAACATCTGACTTTCTAACAGGCATCTGAATCCAGCATTCAAACACCCATTCAGAGCCTGGACAAGTAAAGCATTTACAGGGTTTTTTTCCTAGGCTGCATGTCTCCTGGAGAAACAGGTTTCAATCTCATTTCTCTCACAGGTTAAGAGGATTTTCTGGGAAGTTCTCAACACAACAGTCCCCACGGTGGAAATCTGCGCTGAACAATCACTCACGTAAAAGCACCTTTCTCCATGGGCACTGCACAAACTAGGTAAGAGTCAGCCTTTAAGTGTAGCTGGTTTCAGAGATGGAAATGAGTGACTGTTTATTACAATGGGTAGTTCAGCAAGGTGGAACTCACCCCATGCTGTGGATGTGGCAATCTGGCGAAAAAAATGTGTCCTTAAGTCATTATAATTAGAAATGATTTCACACAGTGCTACACATAATACTTTCAGGTATATGGCTCATAACAATAGGCTTTCATTTATTAAAATTTATTCATATTCAATAATAACACAGATAAAAATAATCAGGTCCTCCATCACTATCACCTTTTTCACCTAAAGCACTAATATTGGATGTAACCACACAAGTACTGATGGCAAACCTTTCCAAAGAAATGATCATGGCATAGTCTTTCAAGAATGGAAAGAATCCACTTCCCTAAACTATTTGCTGGTTAGGAAATATGAAGATATCACTTGTCCACATTTATGCCTCCATTTTCTAATACATAGATTAAGAACAAATTAATAGTGGGGCAATATTTTTGTTACTGTTTTAGTTATTACTCAGATTCTAACAAAGAGTCGGTCATGCCTTCATAAAAAAACCCCAAACCATTAGCAAATGCTTTCAGAAGCATCAGCAAGCAGGAATTTTGAGGCATGAAACCATTACTTAAATGGGAAAACACCACTGCAATAGAGAAAGTGAAAAACATCTGTGGCACAGGAACACTTAAAATTTCACATTTGAAAAGCCTCTGCAGTTTGTTGCTTTGTATTTGGCAGCAAAACACAGACAAAAAAAATATTTACATCAAAATGCACAAAACAGGTGGATAATATAGCATTTCCTTGCTAGTTTGGCTTTCAAAACAAGGTATTTTTACACATTTCCTACAGAAATCCCAAACCACCCCATGTTCTCCTATTGTCATTAACACAACACTCAATGTACAGTGAAATTCAGTAGTGTTGTGCTGGATGTAACTGCAAAAAGCACCAGCTGCTGTATTAGGAATGGCATCCTTCCAGGTCTCAAATGTCTTATTTATATACAATGGAATCCTTCCAGCTGTTTAATATTTAGGGCTAATAAATATAATTGGCAGTACTACTGCACAAGGGCAAGTAACACAAATACATATAAAACTACTTCCCGACAGAAAACCTGATTTGTTCTTAGATGATTAAACCAAAGATGGATACAGAGTGCTGAGCACATTTTACATAGCTGCCTTTTTTTTCTTTAATCCAAACAATATTTGCTTGTTTTCCAAGTGCAAAACTGAACAGAAAAAAAATACCAGGCACTGTTACACCAGCTGCTCCGAGACCAATGTTGCCTTCAACCAGTGTCTTCCACAGACCATGAATGAAGATAAACTGGCCAGGTAGAAAGACAAGACACAGCACAAGTTTCCAGGGTGGGTGGTAGTTTATTATTGATTCCTTGGAAAATGCTGGATCACTCCAGAAAACAGTCACGCCACACCAGCCAGTCCAGAAATGATACTTACTCCCACAAGCAATCCTTCTATGTATGTGCAGGACAACCTGACCTCTCACAAGCAGATTATATTGAGTGGGAGGTGAGTACAATGAGGCTGAGAATGCAAACACAATAGAGGAGATGCTCTAAGATTTGTGCCCCTATTTCCAGCTCTCTGGCAGAGTTGATGTTGGCAAGGCCACTATATCATTACCAAAGTAATTAATGCTGAATGTAGCATTAATTGACCAACCCAAGATGGTCATCAAGTCCAAAGAGCTGGGTGTCTTTACGGGCAGCTTCCCAGACTTTGAGAAAAACTTCAGGATCTGTGGCCTCCAACATGATAACCCCCTTCAAGATCACAACACTGGATGTAATCCTGCACAGCAGACAGCAAAAGGCAAGCACTGTGACTCTGTCCCTCCTGTAAGGCCTTGATTCCACTGAAACCTTCTTCAACTCCCTGGCACAACCCAGATGGAAAACTAATCTACAAATGGAAATGTTTAATTTGCATGAGTGAGACACAGCTAATGCTTCCTAACTTCATATGGGAGAACAATTTAATTTGAAATCTTAAACAACTTCCATGACAGCTGGAGCCCAAAATCAATTCCATAAAAGCCTGCTCAGTGTAATTACCATAATTTAGAGGCATTTGGGTAGTTTGATTTTTACTTAGATCATATCTCATTGCTCTTTTTTGATATTCTTCACCTAAGCAGTTACACACTCACAGATCATCTCCATGCTTCCATCTTTAGTACCATTTCTTAACAAAAACTTTCTCTTTCAACCTCTTTATTCGGGCAGTTCAGAACAGCACCCTTACCCACACGGAATGTCCTTCCAGTTAGGTACACAAAAGGTCTCACAGAAGGACTAACATGGTCCTCACCTCCCTAAATCAGCTCAGAATCAACTAATTGAACCTAAACCAACAATCAATCAGGAGCTCTGCTCTTAACAAAATATGTGAAGTACTTAAGACTATGATCTTCTTCTAAGTCATCAATAAAACACAGCATTTTTCCTCCTAAAGTTGCCTCTTTATTCCTGTTGAAGGAAGCACACCTACTCTTTCCCTAAAGAAAACAACATCTGAAATACTGTCTCAGCCATCACACCTTCCCTTTAATGAGTGCAAGACAAAAATAGGTATGACATGTACCTGAAAAGCATAATGTTGTTTTCTCCAATCCCTTGCTTGGGAAGTACCGGAAAAAATGGCAATAAATAAAAATAGTACATGTATTCCTTTTTAAATCTAGCTATCATATAGGGTCTTCAAAACTAAGCATATGTTGAAATCAGAGAATAGTCATTATGCTTAAAAGGTTAAGTTAAAAATACCTCCAAAACGGTTATTATTCTTTAGTCAACTGCTCAGTCGAAAGAGAAATTATATTTCTACTGTAATTCTATGGAAATTAATTTCTTAACCATACAATTAGGAAAAGTTAGTTCTATGCACATATTTCCAGTTATTTTAATTGAAAAATATGTTTAATACAGGAACTCATGGCTTGACATTTCATATTTTCTAAAGATAAATTCATTTCAGTTCAACAAGAAGAAAGTAATTAGACTGGGAATTCTGGAGGTAGTCCCCAGTTCTCAACCTCTGGCTAAGATGCTCTTGATTTCTCAAGGCTCTAAAACATTATTAAACAATTACTTTTCCTATGTCAAGCTAGGGATGAAAGAGGAACTCATGCCTAATTTAATATGAGATAAATAAACAGAAGTAACTCAACCAGGACTTTAACCAAAGACTTTTGAGGAGCAATGGCGTTAGCTAATTTTCACAGGTCTATACTGTAGCAGTACATTGGAGATACACCATTTTCTGAAAACGCTCTGTTCACTATTTGACAAACTGTACACATTTAGAACTGAAAAAAAGTAAGCATGTCACAGAAATACACAGTTTTACATGTAGAAACAAACTAAAAAAAAGAAAAATTAAGGAAACAAAAAAACCTCCAGTTGATCATAATCTTATAGCCACTGGGCAGCATTCAAGTTCAAACAATTTCAGTTTTGAGTGAACAGAAGCTCATGACATAAAACAGCTCACAAATACACAAAGTAAAACTTGAAAAAAAATCTGCTGTTCACACCACATTACCTGTGTCTTGCACAGCATTTTTGCTGCAGACCCCTCGGTCACAGGTCACTGCAAGCCCAAGGAGGAGTCAAATATCTCCTGGAATAGGAGACATTCAATCCTAAAAATATTGTCATATTTTAGAGAAGCCTCACACAGAATCTCAAATTCAAATCTCATTTAATAGCTATATTTGTATACTTACTATGTGGGAGGTTGAGAGACATTAGCAGGAACATAAACTCCTGACCTATAACCCCACTAGCCAAATTCCTCCATAAGACTCTATATGTAAACATGAGGCTTATATTTCATTTTCTGGCTTACTATGCTACAGTGGAACACAATGTGCTTCAAGAAATACACTACACTAATTATTATCATTGGTATCAATATTTTATTGCAGAGATTAAATAAGGTTCAGAGAATTATTGGAAAGCTAAACATTGCTCATTAGGTCTAATGCTGAAAATATTTTTATAGATTACCTTTATTTACTTAAGCTTCGTTTCTTTATCATAACTACCTTGAATGTAAACACACTCAGTAAAACAGCACAGCAGCTTTTGTATTCAAACATTCAAAATTGCCTCACTTTTGAGTCCTGTGGTCAAAAAAAAAAATTAACCTTGCACTGCTCTCAGTGAGACACTGATTACATGCTGTGAAAAGCTCAAAATGAAAACAACTGCACAAGAAGGATTTTTTACCACAAAACACAGGGCTAAATATAAATGAAAGCCTGCTGGGAATGTGTATCAATAATATGTGAGTGTGTTTGACTCAGTTCTCTGCACTTGGGACTACAGACAGGGGGGAAAAAAATCAGACAAGGATTTTACTGTTTTGTTTATTTTGCTGAATTGTGGCTCCAAAGGTTGAAGTTTACACAGCACTAGAACACAAAGAGACCCTCTATTTGCCAGCCCTTGCAGCAGTGACCACATGGTCCTCCAAAATGTCCTGACAGTGACCTCAAAAGTAACGAGTGAATCACAGCTCAAAGGATGAGAGACAAACTAACCTTCACGCTGCCTCATCCTCCTGGTCTCTTCCTGCCCCAAGGTCAGGAACTGTGTCAAATTATTTATGTTTCTGATAAAGACTCGATTTCAAGACTCTGAGATAAGACCATCACAGACTTCCTATGTGAGTTGAGACTTTGAAGTCCCGTAAACCAGAGATAAAAATTACATTTTAATATACTTGGTTAGGAAAGCTGCCATATGTAGGCAACTGCCTTTCAGATCTTCACTTGCTTCCCAGGGTCCAACTGAACACGTTGTGAACATGAAATTCAAAGCCCACAGAGAACCTGAGCTGTCAAGAATCTTTGCCATGGCTGGAATCAGAACTCTCTCCTCCAAGATGGATGGGACCTAGTGAGAAACCCATGGCATGAAAACACTTGGAATGTGCTTCAAGCCACAGGAAACAGG